AACGGTTGCATTTTAAAAATTAAAATTTAATTTTAAATTAAGAATTGACTAACATACCCTTTTAATTTGATTTTAATTGTATAATTAATATATTAAAATGATTGGTTGAGATTGGTTCTCACAGTTACCACAAACAACTCAGTTCTCCCTTGAATAGGCCCCTATATATATATATATATATATATATATTTTTTTTTTTTTGATGATTGTAAACATAATTCTTTTTAATTTTTATATAATAAAATTTGTTTGCAAAATTAGGGTCATCCAAATAAGATAACCTTATGAGTCAAATCTCATGAGGTGACCCAATTAATCCCCACCTTCTTTCTTATAAAAACCTCCTTATTTCAATCTTTCAATCTCTCGCTAAGGTAGGATATCTCAAACTCAATCACAATTCACCAACACCTTAATACTCAATTCTCATGATGTCACCTCAATATTTTTGGTTCTTCTTTTAATATATATAGAGATTAGTATTTTAAATGAAAAACTAAATCTCACTTATTTTAGATGTTGTAAAAAATAATAATTAAAAAATAATCATGCTTAAATCACGGAGATTATAAAAAAATCATGAATAAATATTTTAATTGAATTTATTAAATAATCTTTATATAAATAAATGAATTTTCATATGTATTATGTATACAACGAATGACATATATATCCTCTTCAACGATTTTTAATGGAGTTTTATTTAAAATTATTATTATTTAATAAAATCATTGGCCCAAAAATATTCTCTTATTCTTTTAAATAGGTTCATTCTCGGTTAACCATTTCTCTATATACATATATGTTTTCTATTTATTATTGACATTCGTACCTGAAGAAAAAAATCATATATATTAGCATTATACGAAAAGTGTCATTAAATATTTTAAATAGAACTTGCAACGGTTTTACAACTTTGTTTTAATCATGAATTTTGTGGTGTGACATGTGTTAACCATGTAACTATGAATAATGTCGTTAGATAAACTTGTAAAAGTGTAAAATCTAATGTAAAAAGTGTAAAACCACAAAAGATGAAAATATTTTATTTGAAAAAGTCACGCCTTGTAACCACAAAGGTGGTGTCTGATTGGTGGCTCCAAAGGTCAAAAGTACGTTTAAAACCAAGGAGGAATAAAAATCCCCTTGTGACCACGAAGGTTCAAATGCGATGACTCCGGGCTATCTGCAAAACAAGTGATCGTCCTAGGATTAATCGGTTCGCATATCGAGTTGAATATCCAGGTTAATAAAAAAAGTCACGCCCTATCATAACAGTAAAAATACGTCCTACTCCATGTCACTGTCTTTTAGAAACCTAGCAGTACTTAAAGTTGCTAATGTGGTATAATGTAGTTAAGTCGACCGATCACGAAGGACTAGTTATGTCACTGGTTCAATTGGTTACAGTAGTACAAGACTAAAAAGTGTAGCATGTATGAATCTAACTGGTTTTAAGTGGCATTTCACTCGTAATCATAACTTATCCGCTGATTCTTCAATGCAATTATTATACATAAATAGACTTTATTCGTCTCTAACGACCGCGACTAGTTACCAAGTCACGGAAGGGGATCGGGACCGCAAGCTCAACAGGTTTGCCCATCTCTACTACTGTAAACAAACGGACAAGCATTAACCTTGGCCATGCGTGCAGTAAACGAAACATGAAGACAAGATGTCAACCGAATCTTGCCGATATCTTTGTAGACATCGTTCAACGGACTTTGTAGGGGTTCTAAGAGGATCGCCATGTTCGGGTCACAACAACGAACTCCAACACTTCACCTCTTGGCCAAGTCCCATCCAACCGAAACAAGTTTACGTAAATATCACCAACTTTTTTCAGAAAAAATGACGAGTTTCATGTTTATTTCGATTGTTTCAAAATAATAATAACACGTTACAGCTCCGTAATAAGCCTAACGAATGAGTCTGAAACTGGAGAATATGAGTAACAAAGACTTGTACAAATGAATCAAATAAATGAAATCACATATATATATATATCGAGATGGAGAGAGGGAGAGGTTCGTTCATGGAAAGATCTCTTTGTTTTAGGCTCGATCAGATGACTCGAGCACAGTCACCGGCATCGCATATCACAACAGCCGTTTTTTGGTCAAGATGACTAGCCAGATCAGGTTGAAGTTTACGGAATTCAGTCTTGACAAATGAAGCAGCTTCGTCTGCGTAATCTGCATTCACAAATGCTACACAGCACCCTCGGAATCCAGCACCACTGAACCGTGCTCCATACACACCAGGTGCCGTTATAAGGATCTTATATAGTTGGATTAGCGGTTCACAACCTGAAAGTTTTGACAGATGTTTAAAATTACAGACCATTAATCTACAGTTGATGACTCGTATCACTGCAACAAATTTGGATTTATAGGACGCCAAAGATGCCAAAGTGACCTAATAGACTGCTCTATAAGACTTGGATTTATAGGACCAGACATTTGTACATCCTATGTAAAAACATTACCATAAGTTAGCTTTGGGACGTCTTGACAAGTTCTTTAAGACACTTATGAAATAGAGTGTCCAGTTAGCATTTTTACAGGACACTTTTAAGAAGTGTCATAAAGTATTGAACACGTCTTTTTATAAGACAATTTTCAAATAATGTCGTATACAAAAATTAATAGGACGTTTATTTCAAAAATTGTCATAAAAACTTGTTAAAACATCTAAAAGCATCCTATAAACTTATTGCAACACTTTACATAAGACGTACGAGTGTTTGGTCCTATAAACTAAAGTCCTATAGAATATTCTATTAGGACACTTAGAAGTCTTTTACATAACGCTTACCCGGTAAGTGATTACTTGGTCACTTTACCTTATCGGATGAACATGATAAGGATTAAGAATCTTATCCGGCAAGAGTGATGACAAAGACCGAGAATCTTACCAGTAAGTGAGAGTGACAACTCTTACCCGATAAGCGCTAACCAGAAAAAAATATTGCACAACATGACGTTTTAATGGACTAAATACTTACCCGGTGAGTTAAGTGAAATTGTTGACTATTACTGGGTAAGCGGCCCCTTAGACATTTTTGGCGTCCTATAAACCTGATTTTTCGGTCGTATTTAGTTCATTTTTGGATGCTCGAAACGTGTAATATGCCAAAAAATTTAAAAACGTGCTTTGCATCACCAAGTATGTGGAATATCGAAAAAGTTAAAGGACTTGGGTTCGACTATTGCCCTTAACTCCTGAAATGAGTGAAAGCTACATGAAGACTTGCCACATTCATAGTTCTGAATTGAACTGAGCCCAGAGGACGAGATAAGCTTTCCAAACTCTTCAAAATCGCCGAAACCCCATGCTTCTAGTCCTGAAAACAAAGGAAACTACTTCATGATCGACGAATATTAGGATCTAAAGAACAAGTAAAAGATGTATACCCATCGTTCGCCAAAGGTATACACCAAATATGCTAGCTTAGCAAAGATGTGAATGGTTAGAAAGAAATACGAAACCATTCAGCCAAATCACAACCCAATTCTTGGCGGTTTTTGTGTGGAATTTTCCGTTCTCCTTATTCAAAAGAGAAGGGTACAAGACCTTTTGATCCTCGTAAACGAGAAAGGAATCTCACAAGAAAAGAAACTTATTTAGTCAAGATATTTGCAGCTTCTTGTTGTGATGGCAGGCATCCAGGACAATCCGATACGTGTTCCTCTATGGGATTGTTCATAAACCGTCTTACATGGAAACCAATGGTAAAGTCTCTTTGTAGTCTATTCCGCATGACCGAGTAAACCCCATATGTCATTAAAGAGCGAGATCATTTGTGTGGGTATGTTTTGAAAATTGACGGATATCACTTTGAAATTGGATGATCAACAATCCAATTGTGATGGTTAAAGTACGTAAGATAGTGTGTGCATCTGCAGCTGTATGATCGTGATTAATATGGGAGAACGTAAAACCTTTAATAACCCGCATGTTCTCAGAAAAGTAGTGTTCCGCTCTTCTAGCTAGATCTGGTTCTAGTTTGGACTGCAGAACGTAAACGTTTAAAGAAAGAATAACATGTTAGCATGTATTAAGTCAACGGATCACTTTGTAGACAGCGTTTAGTGCAACAGCTACAAGATAATTTTGTTTAGTGGCATGAAGTTAAGGAAAAGAAATATATAAAAACCTTGTGAGCCGTATAGTCTTGTTGTTCAACTGTAACAAAAGGTTAAAGAAATTAGTGTGCAAGTGTAAAGAAAATAAATCAAATGCCACAATTCTAACCGTTAGATAAAATAGGCTCGACTTCTTTCCCAGCTGCCCTGTAAAAAGTACACGGTTTTTGTCATATGAAATTGAATAGTTGCAGCGAAGTGGAACGTCATAAATCGCTGAATCTTACTTTAGAAGGATCTTTGCAGCCTCTCGACACTCGGAAACTCTCCGATTATATCCAGGGTTAGTTGTCAAAGCCTGCTTCAGGCCAGAAAATGCTAGTAGAATCTTGTAGGGAATTTTAGATTCACCCTTTTTCTCCATTTCAATCTTAGGTGGGTGTATAAGCTTGTGTTTTTTGGTCTGCACATGATTAACAAGATCCATTCAGATCAAATATATGAGCATCAGCAATTGAATCCATTTCAAAATACGATCGATACTGCTAAAATATAGTATCTCTGTAGACCGATGGTTGTCTAATCAGTTATATGGTCATAAGCTCATTAGTAAAATGTCAAGAGGTATATGAAAATGTAATGGTTACACGTTTCTAAAACTGTGTCTCTTTTTCATTATGGGCACTATTTTGGGACAGAGGGAGTAATTAAGAAAGAATATAGATAGATGATGAGATTGTAGTTGATGGCGAAGACAAAGTAGCACAAGAACATACCAAGTAACAATGGCCAAGTTGGGACCAGCCCGAGACCAAATGGGAACGGTTATGGCCCGACAGGATGGGACCGGTTACACATTTTATGGAACTTCAAGTCTCATCCTGGCTGGGACAAAACCGGGCAGGCCGGGCCCAGGACCAGGACCTGTTATCAGGCCTAGATCGGTCCTAGGATTTTTGGTTGAGACTGGGACCGGCTGGCCCGGTCTTGGAAGGACCAATATTTGACCATCTCTACCAAGTACCTTCGGCCCAATGGTACCAGTGGACCTCTACAACATTTGGGTTGTGAGTTCAAGTCGTTTTAGAGGAATCAACGTTCAGTATATTGACCATTTCAAAAGAAAATTGCACTTACTTCACTAAAACATTATCTACCATGAGCCGATCAACATGACTCTACTTTCGTAGGTGGAAATATTGTATTATTTAAGAAGTAACAAAGTTTGAAGAATTGCAAGTAGAATGGTCTTAATGATACCTTGCAATCCATACAAGTTAAACAGCCATAGCTTGAAAGCAATATAGCTGACTGATCCAATATGCCATTTTTCAGGCCCAAATATTCGTTCTCGATTAGCCTACAAGTACAATAGTCAAATTTAGAAAAACCTTATGTTCAGAAATACTTGAGGCAATATGAAGCATGGTGTCTTAAATATATTATATATATATATATATATATATATATATAATGTTGTAACATTTCATAATATCAATACACAATAATTACCATAGAGGCTGATAAAATTGTAAGAAAATTGTAAGAAAATTGTAATGAATCTGTCAAAAAGTGTAAGATATCTTAATCCACAGCCATTTGCCAAGAGGACACTTGCGATGTCTATGGGGCGGGGCATCAGGAACGGCATGGTATAAGGAACATCTATCGTCAACCGAACCTCGGACCATTTGAATTTTGTGCAAATCAACCCCATAACTTAGCCATCATAAGAGAGGAACTTACCGATCATACTCGATATTTTCTGTGGGAGATATGATGAGATTATTTGCACTTTCCAGAGCCAACAGGTAAGCAACTCCAACCTGTTAAACATGAGAAATCACAATTACCAAATTTGAAAGCTACGGAGTTGCTGAAAATAAATGAAATGGATACTTAAACAATGAGCATTAAGTATATGAATATTATGGTAGAGTTATTTTTCCCAAAAAAGAATGAAAAACATAAAAGAAACTGAAAAAGACAGAAAAAAGAGAGGTTCCATGTATTTTAAACTTCGAAACTGAACCAAGACCGTTACAGAACTGGTACATATCTAGTCTTTAATCAGATAATCTTCATATATCGAAGAAGTCAAGCGTAATAAGTCCCCGGGTGATCAAAGTTGAAGTACTTTGTGAGCAAGTATTATTTGTGGTCATTAAAAGAAGCAAAAAATCTAGTATTTCAAGATTTCTCGAGAGGATACAGCAAAGGAAATGATATCTCAAATGTAAATACCCAAGATTGAGTAAGAAGCAGAATGGGAATAAAAGCTTACGGCAGCAGATGAGCTTAGACCTGAACTATCAAGACCCTCGGTCCCACAAATGAATCCCGTGATACCCTACACCAATTTGAATCAAGAATTTATCAGCAATCAAAAACTTCAAAAGTTGGTGCGGAAAAGAGAAAGGATTAAGGATCTATCAATCGTGATGATTCAATAACATGTCAATAAACATGTTGGATATTCTATGCAGAGCATTGCTTTTCTGAAAATCTCGTTATTCATTAACACCTAACGACTATCATAGATTAAAGAAATCTTTAACCTGCTTTAGATGGTTTCCTCCACGTTGCAGTGCATACACTGCTCCTTTCGCGTAACTTCCCCACTTGCATTCTTCCGGTGGATCAGATGGATGGTTTTCTTGGATCTTGCCATTTGGCTTGGCAATATGCTTTGGAAGCTGAATTTGATCGACTCTGTAGTCAATTTTGGAAACCCAAATAAGGAAACAAATGTATCATAAACTTGGTGCTTAATGAAACAGATATGAATAGAAAACAAGCTAAATACCTGAAATGAACTTCTCCGCTAAATTGTCCAGACCTTAGTAGAACCTTTGTATAAGGATCCATTTAACATGAAGAGCAAAAAGGCTATGGTATCAAAATAAACATTAAGCAAAGAAACTATCAAATTTCTTATATAACACGATTTCCTTCGTAGATCCACCCTACATCAAGATGATTTCATGGTGAGAGAATGATACCTTAGGATCACCAGAAGGTACAAATCCAAGAATTATACCCTTATCAATTGTCATGGCTGAAACTGTTCCACCCTGTAGCATCAAAAACCGATCATTTGCTCAATTTGTTCATAACATTATATAAGGTCGTCGACAAGATAGAGTTACAAGTAGCATCTTCTACTGTTAAAAGATGTGCTACAGATTTTCATGATGATACAGATTATGTACATGCTAAACATAACACCGCAACCCCCCCCCCCCACACACACACACTTTTTTCCCCTTCCCTCACACACATTCATGGTTTGTATTTCAGTATAGGCCACTTTTTAATATGATACATCTTTTAGATGGGAATAACCAACAAAGATACATTTTTGAGACGAAAAATCAAGAAATGTATGAAACAAGATGGCAAATACAAGTATCTGTTAGCAACCTGATGGTCGATATGAGCTCCCAAAGGACAAATCCTGTAAGGAGATACAACAACCCTGACCACATTAACAGCTACCCCAGCCATTTCAGCAACCACTTTCTTGATTTTATCCAGCTGCACAACAAAATCAATATCGACATTCAGTTCGAAACAAACATTCTTGATTTAAACCAAAAAGAACAAGATTATGCATTCCTTAAAACTAGAGTGATATCCTCATTTTGTTGTTTTTCTGACCCTTTAATCTACAAATAACCATAATCGTACAGAATTCACATACAGAAGGGGGTTCAGTAATCCTAAAAAAACATGGGGATTAAAAAGAAAAGCAATCATCAAAGTTTTCTTTTAAAGAAAACCAAGAACCATTGTTCCTCCATTCTACTACGAAATTGTCGAGTAATCCTAGTTTAATAACATCATCAACACGTAACACAATGACTCAACCTGATAAGGATTAAATTCACAGAAGATAACAACAAATACAGTAGTAACAAACTAAAGAGAAAAGGATCAAATGGTAATGACATTATCAATGAAGAACTAAAGAGATATGAATCAAAGACTTCACCTCTGAATCAGAGGGCCAAGATGACACACCCATCTTGGAAACACCTTCGTTGTATGCCAAAACCCAGTTGTTGTTGAATCAGGGTTTTGATTTGAGATTTGAGATTTGAGATATTGAGATTGGAGGGGAGTGAAGTGAGGTTGAAGAAATGATGAACCGTGAGTTGAGATGTCAAAGTCTTGCTTTGAAATCTCATCATTATCGTATAGTGGGACAGTGGAGTCTTTCGTCTGGATCTGGTTGGATATTCTACAAAAACACAAGACGTGGCAATTAGGTTTCATTCATTGTGGTTTGTTTACCAGAAAAATATTTAATTGCTTTTAAATATAATAAAGTATTTAGTAGTAATTAAAAGAAACTTATTAAATATAAGATATCGTTTATTAATACAAATTAAAATAAGATATCGTTCATGAATGCAAATAAGTCTATCTTTTATTTAAGCCCAAGATTCTCTGATAAATTTGCATGGTAATTAATCTCATTAAACTGAAGATCACTTAAACTTGCGTATTTTACGTGTACGAATTATGCTCATGGGATACTCGATAAAGATCTTTTGGTCTTACATTCATCTTCTTCAAATTAAGTATTTGCATAGAGGTGAGCGGTTTCTAAAACTTTACATATTAGTTTTGGTTATTGGTTTTGAATTTGATGTTTGAGCATTGCATATTGTCTTAAATTAATTGTTGACCGATTTAAAGCCTTTATCGGACACTATGGTGTCCGGATTGAAGGAGTCCGGTCATAAGCTTTGTTCGGATTCAAGTGTTTAATGTTTTGGTCAAGTCTCTAATCCGGTTATGTGCCGTCCGGGGACATGCCTAATCCAGTCATGTGCCGTTCAAATACGAATTAATCCGGTCATGTAACATCCGGATATGCGTTTTTATCCATGTCATGCCATCCGGATTTGGGTTTTGTGTGTTGTCAACTGTTGTCCAGATTTGAAGTCCGGACAAGCCCGTCCGGATATGCATTTCTTGTGCAAATGTTAAAGTTTTTGGAATATTTGCAATTTTCACAATTTAACAGTTATTTGGGGTTAAATTTGATTATTGTAAAATGGGTATTTTATATCTTTTAAAGTGAAAAGATAATGTTTCTACCAAGTGTCATGACGTAAGTCTGTTTTGGTGTGGAACTGTGTTTTGGGAAATGTTTCTACCAAGCATGGTGACGTAAGTCTGTTTTTGTACGAAACTGTATTTTAGGAAATGTTCCTACCAAGCGTGGTGACATAAATCTGTTTTGGTATGGAACTAGATTTTGGGAAATATTTCTACCAAACGTGGTGACATGTATCTGTTTTGGTATAAACTTGTTTTAAGAGGTAGTTCCCCCAGACGTGGTGACATTTGTCTGTTCTGGCTTGGAACTGGGTGATGGGTACTTTCAGACGTGGTGACTTACGTCTGTTCTGGCAAGTAACCATGTTTTAATGGAGGAATAAAGGTGACATATCAAGAAGAGATGTACCTTGGAATAAGGGAGACATTGTCATATGTGGATACTGTTATAGCTCTTGTTATTATTCCTAATTAGATATAATAACTCTGGATCATCATTTCTTCGTGATTTGATGAATTAGAGATATTATCCTTGTTAGAAATAATAATTTAGATGTTATTGAGAAGGGAAAAATGGTTTGTCATGAGATCCATTTATTGCCTAATATTTCTATCAATACTTTAATACATATAGAGGGGCTCTGGTTGGTCTTATACAAGGACCAGAGGACCTCTGATTATGTAAAAAGGGTTTTTGATACTTTGGAGATTTATAAATTTTAGGCTTTGTATGTTTCATACAAAAGCTTTGTATTTTAAAGTCTTATGTTCTATTCTTTAAAATTGTCTTTTCGAAACAAAATTTAATTATAACAAGTTCAAGAGTCAGAGGTGCTCTGATTCTAGTTTGGTTGTCTTTTTAAATCATATTGAGCTCTTCTGGACCTAAGGGTTTATTTGGTCCAGAGGACCTCTGGTTGGTCTTTGGTTTACTCACATACAGAGGCTCTGATTAGTAGAATTAGAAGCTCTGGTTGGGTTAGAAGGATTCTGGTTTGTAGGACCAGATGGGCTCTGGTCTCTGGAACCAGAGGGGTTCTGGCGCGTTGTAATAGGGTTCCATTTTAACCTTAGGTTTTTGATTTGGTGCATTTGCATTATGGGTTGATATTAATGGTTGATCTTATTGTTTATCATATTGAGGACTGCATTATTTGGTTGAAATGCAAATATTTTTGGGTAAAGCTATTTTATCAGATTTTGGTGTTTATCACCCTACATATGCAAAGAAGGGATTTACTCACTAGACCCTTCTGGTCTAACCCCCATTTTCTGTTTTAAAAATATGCAATGCAGGAACTGCGAGGTCCAGAGATATTAAGGGGAAAAGGAAAATGTGATTATTTTCCTTACTTAATATTTGTTTTTGAAGATCTGCATGAGATTGCTTATTTTTGGAAGATGCATGTTGTTATACATGTGATAGTACAAGATTTTATTTTGGGATTTTTAATATGTAGATTTTGTACATATAAAAATCTTTGTACTAGTGGGACCATCGTGGTGTAAATTGTATTTCTATGTAATGAAATATGTGTTATATGCAAATGTGGTGTTTCGGGGTGTTATAACTAGATCTAATCTTTGTTTGGTTGGTTTTCATTAAGTCGTGTATCGATAAAGTTGTCTATGTGAATTAATCTGTCTGTATTAATTGAAAATGCTTTGTTTGAAATGGTTTTTTCGTAGATAGAACGAACGTAGTTTTTAATTGGGAGATGCAGAATTGACAGGAAAAAACTTAACTTTCTGCATAAAACCTTACTTTATAAGTTCACTGAATAAGTCATTTTCTATATCATTAAGTCACTACCAAACAACCATGTATAGTTCATCGAATAAGTTATGAATATTATTTAGTTTATTAAGTTGCTAATAAAGAAACCCTTATTCCCTTTTGTCATTATATTTTTGATGCCTACTAAAGTAAAACCACACATCCAGTAATAGGTAGCTCTTATTATGTCACACTTTACTTTCATATGGCTTAATGCTTACTGACAACTAACTACTGAAACAATAACAAAAACATTTGACTGTCTTTTTCATTTGTAGCCAAAGACTTATCAACTTAATAAAATTTAATTATTGGAAGATTGGAACTTACATGCGTTTAGACGTTTGATAATAAATACTAAGACAAGTTGCATTTGGTATGTGGACAAGATACCATCCGGCTCGACTAGTTGCTTGTATGGTGCCTGTATAATGTTTTGGTAAATTGGACATTATGTAACAAGAATGTTAAAATGACAAGATTGTCCCTTTGAAGTTTATTTTATAATAGTATAAATGACACAAGTCAACTATACATTTAAGTATATTGAATTACAAAAATTCCTACATTATTAGTATACTATATTTATAAACATACACACACACGCACACACATGTAGAGGCAGGATCAAGCGAGAATGATACCTATTTAAATTAACACAAGAACGGGCAAATCACGTGCAAAATCACATGTGATTTTTTATTTAATTGATCATAAAAAAAATTCGAACGACATGTGGATGCGTCCTCGGGTCGTTGGGCAAGTTCGTCTGAATCACGTGTGATTTTGTATGTGATGTTAGTGTAAAATCACATGATTTTCCTGTTTTCGTCTTCTTTTAAATATGTAACGTTCTCGTTTGATCCTCCCTTTATATATATATATATATATATATATATATATATATATATATATATGTGTGTATGTGTGTGTGTGTTTGTGTGTGTGTGTGGAGGTTCAAACGAGAACACCTTCATTTTACGAGAATGCGAGAACATTCTTATCACATGTGATAATACACTTGAGGGGGCTTGGAGGTGTATGGAAATATGAATGTTGTGCCTTGCGACTTAGGTCTCACCAAAGGTCGTCTGCGTCTATGATTTAGTATCACATGTGATGGTTTTGATGGATTGTAGTATCACATTAATAACACATTTATCACATGTGACAGTACATGTGAGGGGCTTAGTGGTGTAAGGGCAACTTGGCCTACAACCTAGATCGCGTCAAAAGTCATCCACCTCTCTAATTTAGTATCATATGTATTGGAATAATAGTATCACATGTGATTGTTTATGGTAAAAGGGTGTTCTCGCGTTCTCGTAAAATGAAGGTATTCTCGTTTGAACCATATATATATATATATATATATATATATGTATGTATGTATGTATGTATGTATGTATGTATGTATGTATGTATGTATGTATGTATGTATATATAAGCATGTGTGTGTTTTTGTATTCTAATATTT